AATAGAAATTTTTATAAAAAGCTCTTCCTGAAAAAAGCTTTTATAGAAAGTTCTTTTTGTAAAAGTTTTTATGAAAAGCTCTTTTTGTTTCATAAGTTTGTTTCATAAAGTTTTCATAAAATTATTTTATTAGTCCTTGTTAATGTTAAAACTTTCGGTTCATTATTTTATGATTTTTTGTTCATTACACTTTACGCTTTTGACTGCATTTTTAACACCATTTCACCCTCGTTAACACTAAAACAAAACACCATTATCAGACCCTTTCAAAAGTCTATATATTTCCCCCTTTTCTCTCTCAATCAGGCGATACTTCTGTCCTTGCCAATGGCAGTTTAATGGATTTCTATACGTTACAAGTTTTCTTCCTTGCCAATGTTGTTAAAGCTTTAGTATTATTCGAATTACCCGCTGATGGTCTTATGGATGTGGAAGAAGAGGATTATACTTCAATTTCGGATAAAGCTCTCGAGAATATTTCGATATTCTTTAATAAATACAATATACAGGCAAGACAAAAACAACAGGAACAACAAAAACAACAGAAAAAGGAAACAAAACCAGAGGAACAACAGCAACCAACACAACAGGGAGATGATACAGATGCTGGTATGTTTAATGTAACCGATGATGATAAGCTACAGCAAACTGAACAGGATGATGAACAACAACAGCAGCAGCAGCAACAACCGGAAGTGGAATTATTAAGTCCTCAGATGGTTTACACTATATTGGATCATATTAAAATGGAAATGCGTGAATTTTTACGTTGCTGCTGTTTATTCTTCCACTTTGTTACGGATGTGGAATTTCCTGATTTTCTAGCGACCACCGAAAGTGACACCTATGAGAATATGTGTAAATATTTGGGTCTCAATACACAACTGGAAGCCTATTTCGATAATGCCACACCTTTTGCTACCATTTTGGAAATGTTTGCCTCGCATCATGATATTACCAATTTAGATGTGGTCACCACAAAACTCAAACGTACCGGTGATCCTTTAGTTATTGTACCCTGCACCCGGCCGGTGCCACAATTAGTGTCTTTGCCAGAAGATTACAGTGATTTGATTAACAGCGTTTCCGATTTCAGTTGTCCCAACAATGAGCGCGAAGAAATGAAAACACCCACCATGTGTCTAATGTGCGGTGAGGTATTGTGTGCTCAATCGTATTGCTGTCAACCGGATTTGGATGGTCGTAATGTGGGAGCCTGCACATATCATGCCTTCTTTTGTGGTGCAGAAATTGCTCCTTTCCTGCGTATACGTGATTGTCAAATTGTTTATTTGGGTAAAAATAAAGGCTGTTTTGTGCAGCCTCCCTATTTGGATGAGTATGGTGAAACGGATCAGGGTCTCAGACGTGGTAATCCTCTTAGATTGTGTCCTGCTCGCTATAGTAAAATTCATCTTAATTGGTTGGGTCATGGTCTGCATGAAGAAATTGCTCGTCTCAATGAACATACGTCAGCCATTACCACTCAATGGCATCACATGTAGTTAGTGGATAGGAAATCTGCAACAACAACAACAACAACTCCCCCCACTACTACTACTACTACAATCTACTAAATGGAAAATACTTTAAAATTAAATAATCTTAAACATCCTGCACGACACTATGCAGTTGATAAATTTAGTTAATAGCTAAAGATTATTAAACAAGATAAAATTTAAATTTAAACAAAAAACAGCAGTTAATGTGATTTAAACTAATCTATATAAAAAAAACAATTAAAACAAAATGAAAATAAAACTACTTATGTTATTTAAACTAATAATTACTAAAAAAAACTAAAGAAGAAAAACAAAACTTACAACTCCTACTACAACTAACTAATAAAACTACTCTTGATTTACAGAAAAAAACGGGAATAAAAGAAATCTCTAAAATTCTCTCCCAATTTTCACTTTAACTTTCTTTAACCTGCAAACGAAAAATATTTCTAAACAAAATTTAATCAACCATATTAAAAGTAAAAAGAAAACTTATCACATAAGAGTAGCATTTTTAAAACAAAAAACACTTTATTAAAATTATGATTTTCTTTAAAAATTCGAAAATTGTTAAAATTATTCTTAAAACGCAAAAGAATGGTTGTAGTTTTGAAATTTAGTTTTTGCTTTTTCAAATTGTTTTAAGTTTTTTTTTTTTTTTAACCCAGAGTTGAGTTATATTTTTAATTTGTTTTTTTTTTATTCAATGCAGCTGCTTTTTTTTTTCTAAATATTGTTATATTTTTTTCTTATACTTCCACCACAAATGCAATAAACTGAATACTTGTATATTTTAACTTTTTGCTATTTTGCTCTCTACTTACTTTTCTTTCACTCTTCTCCTTTTACAATTCCTTTCTCTCAAAAAATTTGGAAATTTTAAAAATTTCAATATTTTTATTTTTCCTTTTTTTTAAATTTCACTTTTAATTTCTAGTTCTATAATTTATTTAAATTACTTTACTGTAATATTTTTTTATATTATTTTTTAATAATTTTTTTGTTTATTTAATAAATATTAAATGTAATTTACAAATGAAAACAAGAAAAAAACATTATATTCATAAAAAAAAAACAAAAGAAAACTTAAATAAAATGTTTGTTTAAAAATAATTATTAAAAAACCCGTATAAGTTATTGCTACATGTTTAAGTCTATTTCCTCAATTGGATCTTAAGCTAATGGAGACTATATTCTGGTCTAAAGATCTCTGTAATCTAATCCATAACTAAGACTATAATCTGCTCTATAGTTCAAACTATAATCTTGTCTATAGTTCAGATTTTAATCTGTTCTATGGTCTAGTCTATAGTTCCGACAATAGTCTTGCCTAAAGTCTAGTCGATAGTCTAGTCTTTAGTATAGTCTAGTCTATATTCTATAGTTACGACTATAGTCTAGTCTACAGTTAGTCTAGAATTCAGACTAAAGTCTTAAGTCTTGTCTACAGTTCAGTCTATAGTCTAGTCTATAGTTCAGACTATAATTTAGTCTATAGATCAGAATGTAGTCTAGTCTATATTTCAGACTATATTCTAGTCTATAGTTCGGACTACAGTCTAGTTCAGACTATAATCTCGTAAATAGTTCAGACTATAGTTTTGTCTATAGTTCGAACTATAGTGTAATCTACGGTTCAGATTACAGTCTTGTCTATAGTTCATACTATAGTTTAGTCTATAGTTCAGACTAAAGTCTTGTCTATAGATCAGCCTATAGTCAGGCTATAGCTTAGTCTATATTTCAGATTATGTAGTCTATAGTTCTGACTAAAGTCTTGTCTATAGTTCAGACTATAGTCTAGTCTAAAGTTCAGACTAAAGTCTTATCTATAGTTCCGACTAGGGTCTGGTCAATAGTTCAAAATATAGTCTTGTCTATAGAATTGTCTATAACTCAGACTATAGTCTTGTCTATAGCTTAGACTATAGTCTAGCCTACAGTTCACACTATAGTCTATAGTTCAGACTGTAGTCTAGTGTATAGTTCACACTATAGTCTAGAATAAAGTTCAGACTATACTATAGACTATAGTCCAGACTACAGTCCAGACTATAGTCCAGACCACAGTCCAGACTATAGTCCAGACTACAGTCCAGAATATAGTCCAGACTATAGTCTTGTCTATATTTCAGACTATAGTCTAGTCTATAGTTTACACTATAGTCTATATTTCAGACTGTAATCTAGTGTATAGTTCACACTAAAGTCTTATCTGACTATGATCTGGTCAATAGTTCAGACTTTAGTCATGTCTATAGATCAGACTATAGTTTAGTCTATAGTTCACACTATAGTCTATAGTTCAGACTTTAGTCTAGTGTATAGTTCACACTATAGTCTAGAATAAAGTTCAGACTATAGTCTAGTTTGTAGCTTAGACTATAGTCCTGACTATCGTCCAGACTATAGTTCAGACTGTAGTCCAGACTATAGTCCAGAGTGTAGTTCAGACTATAGTCCAGACTATAACCCAGGCTATAGTCTTGTCTATATTTCAGACTATAGTCTAGTCTATAGTTTACACTATAGTCTATAGTTCAGACTGTAATCTAGTGTATAGTTCACACTAAAGTCTTATCTGACTATGATCTGGTCAATAGTTCAGACTTTAGTCATGCCTATAGATCAGACTATAGTCTAGTCTATAGTTCACACTATAGTCTATAGTTCAGACTTTAGTCTAGTGTATAGTTCACACTATAGTCTAGAATAAAGTTCAGACTATAGTCTAGTTTGTAGCTTAGACTATAGTCCTGACTATCGTCCAGACTATAGTCCAGACTGTAGTTCAGACTATAGTCCAGACTACAGTCCATACTATAGTCCATACTACAGTCCATACTATAGTCCATACTATAGTCCTACTACAGTCCAGACTATAGTCCAGACTGCAGTCCATACTATAGTCCTACTACAGTCCAGACTATAGTTTAGTCTATAACTCAGATTATAATCTAGCCTACAGTTCAGACTATAGTCAGCTTAGTCCATATTTTAGCCTATAGTTTATTCTAGATCATTCCATAGCCATGTAAGAGCTTTAATCGTGAGTCTTTGCTTTAATAATAGATCTAACACTAGACTTTTTATATCATCAAGGCCCTTCTTGTAAGCTTTTACAGTTTGATTTCATCTCATACTCAGTTTAAGATCAAATATTAACAATTTTGATTTGCAAATACAAAACCGTAATTGATTCAAGAATGTAGATTCTGAAACATATCGAAGTCTATTCTTCTGTACGCGTATCTGCCACTTTGCCAAATTTGTTGTTTACCTATAGATACATGTATTTGATACTAAATTTGAAAGGCTCCTCTCTTTTAGCATTTGTTAGCATTTATTTCACCGAATTCCTTATGAGTTTATCACAGCAATTTATTAGGTTTAAATTTTAAACATCTAAACATTTTATTACTTATTTGTAGATTGTTCGATTTAGATAATTTTATTTAGTGAAGTGTTCTTTTATTTTTTAAATATTTTCAGTTGCAACTCTATACAGGATAGCTTGCTAGTTTATTATAAGAAGAAGTCATCAATTTTAAGCTCAATAAATCACTTGTCAAACTTTAGCTTAAAAAGAAGAATTTAAATGAAAATGCTTTCTGCAAATTATCTATTAAATACTAAAACACATTCTGCTGTTTATTAAACAAGATAAAGCTTCAATCAAGTATATAAAATAAAAAGGATTTTGATGAAAAACATATAAAAAGGTAAGGAATAAAGAGTTTGTGTATTAGTTATGGAAATTCTTTTAATTAAAGTGTTTTTTACTAGGTTTTGACTTTAAAAACTACAAATCTAATGTAGGATACGATGAAGAATTAAGAGGTAAGTTTGTTTAAGTTTTAAATACATATTTAAATAAATTATATAATTAAAGAAAATTAAATTATTACCATTAAAATGTATATTTGGTATTGTTCTTTAGAGTTTTAATTTATTTACTTTCCCTTTTTAGATACTAACGATATTCGAAATCAACAGGATTTAAACAACGTCAACACTGGTCTTTAGTACATCTTTAATGCGGTAAGTGATTTTTAATATTGTTCCTTTTAATTCTATTATTTAAAAAAATCACATTCATTTCCTCATATTCGATGCTTCTTTAAAAATTTTGCCTAATTTTGGTTATCAATGATCTTAAAAATGATATTTTTATAAAAACTCTTTCCACGAAGATAAGTTGGTCTATCCGTATGTAATTTCCCTAATATAATTTTGTATATAAATTCTGGATTCTTAATAATTGTGGATTCGATTAAGCTATATCAGTTTGTTTGTATGTCTGTTGAAATCAATTTTCTAAAGACCCCACATATCCTTGCCACCTAACTTTTTAATAAAAATTTAAAATCAGCAAAATCGGTCCGTAAATAACTAAGATATGAAAATGGTTCCAAAATTACCCATTAAAATATTTAAAAAATCGAATTTTAGGCTTATACTTTAGACACGTTTTTGGACCTTTAATAATAGAGGCCATCAGAAAGTCGTTAAGGGTTTAGAATCATACAGTGATTTGAATAGGATCGATGCTTGTTGGAAGATAGTCGCTTATGTGAACGATGTGGTGTTTTTGATTAAGAGAAAATTTCTCCCGACTAGACTATAGATTAGACTATAGACTAGACTATAGACTAGACTATAGACTAGACTATAGACTAGACTATAGACTAGACTATAGACTAGACTATAGACTAGACTATAGTCTAGACTATAGACTAGACTATAGACTAGACTATAGACTAGACTATAGACTAGACTATAGACTAGACTATAGACTAGACTATAGACTAGACTATAGACTAGACTATAGACTAGACTATAGACTAGACTATAGACTAGACTATAGACTAGACTATAGACTAGACTATAGACTAGACTATAGACTAGACTATAGACTAGACTATAGACTAGACTATAGACTAGACTATAGACTAGACTATAGACTAGACTATAGACTAGACTATAGACTAGACTATAGACTAGACTATAGACTAGGACTATAGACTAGACTATAGACTAGACTATAGACTAGACTATAGACTAGACTATAGACTAGACTATAGACTAGACTAGACTAGACTAAAGACTAGACTATAGACTAGACTATAGACTAGACTATAGACTAGACTATAGACTAGACTATAGACTAGACTATAGACTAGACTATAGACTAGACTATAGACTAGACTATAGACTAGACTATAGACTAGACTATAGACTAGACTATAGACTAGACTATAGACTAGACTATAGACTACACTATAGACTAGACTAGAGACTAGAGACTAGACTATAGACTAGACTATAGACTAGACTATAGACTAGACTATAGACTAGACTATAGACTAGACTATAGACTAGACTATAGACTAGACTATAGACTAGACTATAGACTAGACTATAGACTAGACTATAGACTAGACTATAGACTAGACTATAGACTAGACTATAGACTAGACTATAGACTAGACTATAGACTAGACTATAGACTAGACTATAGACTAGACTATAGACTAGACTATAGACTAGACTATAGACTAGACTATAGACTAGACTATAGACTAGACTAGACTAGACTATAGACACTATAGACTAGACTATAGACTAGACTATAGACTAGACTATAGACTAGACTATAGACTAGACTATAGACTAGACTATAGACTAGACTATAGACTAGACTATAGACTAGACTATAGACTAGACTATAGACTAGACTATAGACTAGACTATAGACTAGACTATAGACTAGACTATAGACTAGACTATAGACTAGACTATAGACTAGACTATAGACTAGACTATAGACTAGACTATAGACTAGACTATAGACTAGACTATAGACTAGACTATAGACTAGACTATAGACTAGACTATAGACTAGACTATAGACTAGACTATAGACTAGACTATAGACTAGACTATAGACTAGACTATAGACTAGACTATAGACTAGACTATAGACTAGACTATAGACTAGACTATAGACTAGACTATAGACTAGACTATAGACTAGACTATAGACTAGACTATAGACTAGACTATAGACTAGACTATAGACTAGACTATAGACTAGACTATAGACTAGACTATAGACTAGACTATAGACTAGACTATAGACTAGACTATAGACTAGACTATAGACTAGACTATAGACTAGACTATAGACTAGACTATAGACTAGACTATAGACTAGACTATAGACTAGACTATAGACTAGACTATAGACTAGACTATAGACTAGACTATAGACTAGACTATACTAGACTAGACTAGACTATAGACTAGACTATAGACTAGACTATAGACTAGACTATAGACTAGACTATAGACTAGACTATAGACTAGACTATAGACTAGACTATAGACTAGACTATGGACTAGACTATAGACTAGACTATAGAATAGACTATAGACTAGACTATAGACTAGACTATAGACTAGACTATAGACTAGACTATAGACTAGACTATAGACTAGACTATAGACTAGACTATAGACTAGACTATAGACTAGACTATAGACTAGACTATAGACTAGACTAGACTATAGACTAGACTCTAGACTAGACTATAGACTAGACTATAGACTAGACTATAGACTAGACTATAGACTAGACTATAGACTAGACTATAGACTAGACTATAGACTAGACTATAGACTAGACTATAGACTAGACTATAGACTAGACTATAGACTAGACTATAGACTAGACTATAGACTAGACTATAGACTAGACTATAGACTAGACTATAGACTAGACTATAGACTAGACTATAGACTAGACTATAGACTAGACTATAGACTAGACTATAGACTAGACTATAGACTAGACTATAGACTAGACTATAGACTAGACTATAGACTAGACTATAGACTAGACTATAGACTAGACTATAGACTAGACTATAGACTAGACTATAGACTAGACTATAGACTAGACTAGAGACTAGACTATAGACTAGACTATAGACTAGACTATAGACTAGACTAAGACTAGACTAGACTATACTAGACTATAGACTAGACTATAGACTAGACTATAGACTAGACTATAGACTAGACTATAGACTAGACTATAGACTAGACTATAGACTAGACTATAGACTAGACTATAGACTAGACTATAGACTAGGACTATAGACTAGACTATAGACTAGACTATAGACTAGACTATAGACTAGACTATAGACTAGACTATAGACTAGACTATAGACTAGACTATAGACTAGACTATAGACTAGACTATAGACTAGACTATAGACTAGACTATTAGACTAGACTATAGACTAGACTATAGACTAGACTATAGACTAGACTATAGACTAGACTATAGACTAGACTATAGACTAGACTATAGACTAGACTATAGACTAGGACTAGACTATAGACTAGACTATAGACTAGACTATAGACTAGACTATAGACTAGACTATAGACTAGACTAGACTAGACTATAGACTAGACTATAGACTAGACTATAGACTAGACTATAGACTAGACTATAGACTAGACTATAGACTAGACTATAGACTAGACTATAGACTAGACTATAGACTAGACTATAGACTAGACTATAGACTAGACTATAGACTAGACTATAGACTAGACTATAGACTAGACTATAGACTAGACTATAGACTAGACTATAGACTAGACTATAGCCTAGACTATAGACTAGACTAGACTAGACTATAGACTAGACTATAGACTAGACTATAGACTAGACTATAGACTAGACTATAGACTAGACTATAGACTAGACTATAGACTAGACTATAGACTAGACTATAGACTAGACTATAGACTAGACTATAGACTAGACTATAGACTAGACTATAGACTAGACTATACTAGACTATAGACTAGACTATAGACTAGACTATGGACTAGACTATAGACTAGACTATAGAATAGACTATAGACTAGACTATAGACTAGACTATAGACTAGACTATAGACTAGACTATAGACTAGACTATAGACTAGACTATAGACTAGACTATAGACTAGACTATAGACTAGACTATAGACTAGACTATAGACTAGACTATAGACTAGACTATAGACTAGACTATAGACTAGACTATAGACTAGACTATAGACTAGACTATAGACTAGACTATAGACTAGACTATAGACTAGACTATAGACTAGACTATAGACTAGACTATAGACTAGACTATAGACTAGACTATAGACTAGACTATAGACTAGACTATAGACTAGACTATAGACTAGACTATAGACTAGACTATAGACTAGACTATAGACTAGACTATAGACTAGACTATAGACTAGACTATAGACTAGACTATAGACTAGACTATAGACTAGACTATAGACTAGACTATAGACTAGACTATAGACTAGACTATAGACTAGACTATAGACTAGACTATAGACTAGACTATAGACTAGACTATAGACTAGACTATAGACTAGACTATAGACTAGACTATAGACTAGACTATAGACTAGACTATAGACTAGACTATAGACTAGACTATAGACTAGACTATAGACTAGACTATAGACTAGACTGTAGACTAGACTATAGACTAGACTATCGACTAGACTATAGACTAGACTATAGACTAGACTATAGACTAGACTATAGACTAGACTATAGACTAGACTGTAGACTAGACTGTAGACTAGACTATAAACTACACTATAGACTAGACTATAAACTACACTATAGACTAGACTATAAACTACACTGTAGACTAGACTATAGACTAGACTAGACTATAGACTAGACTAGACTATAGACTAGACTAGACTATAGACTAGACTATAGACTAGACTATAGACTAGACTATAGACTAGACTATAGACTAGACTATAGACTAGACTATAGACTAGACTATAGACTATAATATAGACTATACTATAGACTAGACTATAGGCTGGACCATAGACTAACCTATAGACTAACCTACGGACTAGTCTAAAGACTAGACTGTAGAATAACCTATGGACTAACCTATAGACTAGTCTATAGACTAACCTATAAAAAGACTATCGGTTAGACTTTGACTAACCTATAGACTAACTTACGGACTAAACTAAAGGCAAGACTATAGAATAATCTATGGACTAACCTATAGACTAGACTATAGACAAGACTTTAGACTAGCCTATAGACTAGACTATAAACTAAACTATGGAGAAAACTTTAGACTAGACTATAAACTAGACTATATACAGGACTTTAGACTAGACTATAGACTAGACTATAGACTGGACTATAGACTGGACTATAGACTAGTCTATAGACTGCACTATAGACTAGAGTATATACTAGCCTATATAATAGATTATAGACCAGACTAGACATTTTACAAGTTAGAAAAAGTAATGCAGTATTTTTCTATATCGAATAGTACTAAATTTTCCATGCCTAATGCAGAGTCCGGACTCCGGAGTAAATGAGAACCTATAAAAGGAAACTTTTTGTTATTTTTTCGTTCTTCAAAAGGTACTACTTAAAATTTCTTTTATATTGAACCTAGGAACATAAAATTAAACATTCAAAGTCCTGAGTGAATGAAAATCTGTAGGAAAGAATTGTTGATGCTTTTTGTATTTTTTATAATGTTGAACCAGAAGCATAAAATTAAACATACAACATGATGATGAAATGGTAGTCTATAAAAAGGGACTTTCTGGTACGTTTTCAATCTTTAATTGGTACATAGAGAGTCCTGATAGAATGAACCTTTACAAGAGTAAACTTTTCAAACTTTTTCGTTCTTCAATTGGTACTTTTTAGCAATTAAACTATGGGGAAATGTTTGATTTTGTTGGGTTATTTAAGGAACTTAGTCGATTTTTAAGGGAACCTTCTTAGTATCTAAATATTTCAAATTAAAATACCAGGAATTTTTACTGTTATAATTTACTTTATATTTTTGTTTATTACTTTCTTAAATATTTTTTTAAAACTAAACTTAAAAACAATAAAGCCAAGTATTTACAAATTATGTATATTTCAATAAAAACTATACCTAAGAATACTTTGTTAAAATGAATATATCGTTGAAACTAAAGTTTATATGTATGAATTAAATTTATACATAAATAACACAAATATATATATTTTACATGATTTTATACATTAAAAGAAACGTGTAAGCAAAGTTGTTATGCACTATTTATAAAAAAGGTATAATTGTTATTAAGTAGTACATTACAGATTTATTTTTGGACTAGATGAATTGTTGTATTTTTATTTTGATTTATAAAAGTTAAACTTAAGCTAAAAAAGCTGGTTGGTTTTTCACTTATTACAAGGTTAAATGGAATTATATTTATTAACAATTTTTATAAATATTATTTAACCAACTTTTTTCGGGTTTTATCTTAAATATGTAGTGGAAAAAAGTGGTATTTTTTTTCTTTAAAAAACTAAATAAAATTGTATAAAAGATTTCCTTTCATTTTCTTATTTTGAAACTATAGTCCAATTTTTTTCCAAAAACTCTTTTTCATTCTTTCAGCAAATGATTTTCCAATTCTAAATGCACTTTTCTTTTTTTCATAAATACATTTCTAACATCATGCTTTTTTTTTGTTGTTTTCTTGATTTTGTGTAAAAAGAAATATTTTGTTTAACAAAATTATTTCAATCTCTTTTCAATTCTCTCTCCCAATGGGATCTTAAAGCCACATCCCATTTAAAGTAGTTTATATTCCTACGTTGATTTTTTATCGGCGAGTGTTTACATATGAACCGTTGAATTTTGTGTTGATACTGTGGGCTTATCTTCGGTTTCTGGTTCATCTTTACATTGTTCCATATCAATGACTAGACAGTCATAGGGCGGTGGTGGTATATCGAATTTTACTACACTATCATAGCTGGGAGGCAGTGAATCTACTATCCGTAGAATATCATTTTGGGAATTGATCTGAAAGAGAATAAGATTTGTTAGATTTTTTTTTTTGCTGTTCAGACTATTGTCTAGTTTATAATTAAAATAATAGTCCAGTCTTTAGTTCAGACTATTGTTCGGACTATAATCTAGTCAACTGTTCAGACTATATTCAATACTTCAATACTCATGCTATAGTCTATACTTCAGCCAGACTATTGTCTAATCATATTGTCTATAGTTTAGACAATAGACAATTCTATAGTTCAGACGATATTCTATAGTTCATATTATAGTCTATAATTCAGACTATAGTCCAGTCTATATTTCAGATTATAGTCTAGTCTATGGTCTCTAGTATTGTCTTCTGTTCAGACTGCAGTCTATTCTGTTGTTTCGACTATAGTCCAGTCTTTACTTCGGACCATGGTCTAGTCTATAGTACAGCCTATAGATAAGTCTATAGTACAGACTTTAGTCTAGTCTATGTTCTCGTCTATAGTCTAGTCTATGGTCTCGTCTGCGGTCTAGTCTACAGTCTAGTCTATAATTCAGATTGTAGTCCTGTCTGTAGATCAGCCTATACTTCAGACTTTAGTCTAGTCTATGGTTCCGACTTTAGTCCAGTCCATGGATCGGACTATATTATACTCTATAGTACATTCTATAGTCGAGTCTATAGTTCGGACTATAACCTGTAGTTTAGACTATAGTCTAGTCTAAAGCACAGACTCTATAGTTCAGATTATAGTCCGGTCTATAGTTAAGACTATAGTGAAGATTAATCTGGTCTATGATCTAGTCTATAGTATAGTCTGTAGTCTAGTCTATAGTCTAGTCTACAGTCTAGTCTATAGTATAGTCTATAGTCTAGTCTATAGTATAGTCTATAGTCTAGTCTGTAGTTCAGACTATAACCTGTAGTTTAGACTATAGTCTAGTCTATAGCACAGACTATAGTCTATTCTGTAGTTCAGACTATAGTCTAGTCTATATGAAGTTAAGTCTATAGTTCAGATTATAGTCCGGTCTATAGTTAAGTCTATAGTGTAGACTAATCTGGTCTATGATCTAGTCTATAGTCTAGTCTACAGTCTAGTCTATTATTAAGTCTATAGTATAGTCTATAGCCTAGTCTATAGTATAGTCTGTAGTCTAGTTCATAGTCTAGTCCATAGCCTAGTCTATAGTCTACTCTAGTCTATAGTGTAGTCTATAGTGTAGTCTATAGTCATGTCTATAGTCTAGTCTTTAGTTCAGGTTACAGTCTAGTCTACAGTTCAGGCTATAGTCCAGTCTATAGTTTAGACTATAGTTCAGACTATAGTCTAGTCTATGGTCTAGTCTATCAGACTATAGTCGAGCCTATAGTCTAGACTATAGTTTAGACTATAATAAAGCTTATAGTTTAGACTATAATAAAGCCTATAGTTTAGACTATAGTATGGTCAGTGGTCTAGTCTAGTCTATAGTTTAGACTACAGTTTAGTCTAGACTTTATTTTAGACTATAGTCTAAAGTATAGTCTATGGTCTAGTCTAGTCTTGTCTACATTTCATACTATAGTCTAGTCTGTAACTTTAACCATAGTCTAGTTTATAATCCAAATTAAAGGCCAAAAATAGTACTTACATGTGTTACCCCACGACTACCGCCACTTCCACTTCCCACCCGATTGCCCACCTCATCGATGGGACCAGCCCAAATGCAAACGCCCATGCGATGCGTAACATAACCACAAATAATAACACTAACAATTAGCATGCCAATACCTAAAGCAAACACTAGCCACCGACTCTCAGGACTATTGGCCATATCATGAAGATTCTTTTCCAACTGTAAGGCACACAATATTAAAATGGGGACGGCAATCATGGCCACCAGTAAATCAACTATAGGTCTTTGTTGCGACATTCTGTAGGCTACTCTGGCGGTGTCTGTAGCGGGTGAGGCAGTTGAGTGGGCAGTATTTCCTGAATTTGTTGTAGAGGTTAGGGAACGTGCTGCTATTGTATTATGATTTTGCAGTACCATACTGGAAATGAATAAAAGTAAAAATAAAATGATTAGTTTTGATTGTTTGAACTTTTAACAACTGTTTGAGGATGTACGTATGCATTAGCAATTTATAAATCATTTATAAACCATATAAATAATAAAAATAAATAATATTACGTTGTTTATTTTAATTTTATTTGTTCTAATTATAATAAAATCACGTTTCTTTATCATATTCTAAGTAATTGCGCGCTGCTAGCTAAGTTCTTTCTTTTATTGATATTTTTCTTTTTTTTTTGTTAATAAATTTATTAATGAGGGCGCAAATTAGTCTAGTATTTATACTACGTTGCAGCTTTTTTTTATTATGGTTAAGCAAAATCAGCAATTTTTATATTTTCTGGAAATAATAATATTTTTGTTTCGTTTTTTCTGTTTAACAACTTTTATTTGTTTAAATTTAAGTAAATACAATTGTTAAAGAAATAATATTTACCTCTTGCCTCAAGTATAAAGAAAAATGGTTAATAACAGTCTATACATATCTATATTCTGTACTTCCCACTCGTATGTTTAATTAACTGATTTGTAAGTTCTTAGAAGAAATTTTTACCTTTAATTTAAGCCGCTATAAAAAAAAACTGCAGTAATTTACATTATTACTTTTTAGCACAGTGGGGCAGTGTGCATAATTTAACATAAATGAGAGACTACGGTCCAGTTGGTAATCTTGTCTGTATTCAAGTCTATACTGAAAAATTCTCTCTAGTTTAGACTAGAGCGTCTCAATAGTCATGACTAAATTTCTCTCTATAGTTTCATTTAGTTTTTAGTCTAGTATGTTGTCTAGTCTAAATCACCAGTCTAGTCTTTAGTCTATTGTCCAGTAAATAGTTTAGTCTAGTCTATAGTCTAGTCTATAGTCTATCTATAGTCTAGTCTATAGTCTAGTCTATAGTCCTAGTCTATAGTCTAGTTCCTATAGTCTAGTCTATAGTCTAGTCTATAGTCTAGTCTATAGTCTAGTCTATAGTCTAGTCTATAGTCTAGTCTATAGTCTAGTCTATAGTCTAGTCTATAGTCTAGTCTATAGTCTAGTCTATAGTCTAGTCTATAGTCTAGTCTATAGTCTAGTCTATAGTCTAGTCTATAGTCTAGTCTATAGTCTAGTCTATAGTCTAGTCTATAGTCTAGTCTATAGTCTTATAGTCTAGTCTATAGTCTAGTCTATAGTCTAGTCTATTCTATAGTCTAGTCTATAGTCTAGTCTATAGTCTAGTCTATAGTCTAGTCTATAGTCTAGTCTATAGTCTAGTCTATAGTCTAGTCTATAGTCTAGTCTATAGTCTAGTCTATAGTCTAGTCTATAGTCTAGTCTATAGTCTAGTCTATAGTCTAGTCTATAGTCTAGTCTATAGTCTAGTCTATAGTCTAGTCTATAGTCTAGTCTATAGTCTAGTCTATAGTCTAGTCTATAGTCTAGTCTATAGTCTAGTCTATAGTCTAGTCTATAGTCTAGTCTATAGTCTAGTCTATAGTCTAGTCTATAGTCTAGTCTATAGTCTAGTCTATAGTCTAGTCTATAGTCTAGTCTATAGTCTAGTCTATAGTCTAGTCTATAGTCTAGTCTATAGTCTAGTCTATAGTCTAGTCTATAGTCTAGTCTATAGTCTAGTCTATAGTCTAGTCTATAGTCTAGTCTATAGTCTAGTCTATAGTCTAGTCTATAGTCTAGTCTATAGTCTAGTCTATAGTCTAGTCTATAGTCTAGTCTATAGTCTAGTCTATAGTCTAGTCTATAGTCTAGTCTATAGTCTAGTCTAGTCTATAGTCTAGTCTATAGTCTAGTCTATAGTCTAGTCTATAGTCTAGTCTATAGTCTAGTCTATAGTCTAGTCTATAGTCTAGTCTATAGTCTAGTCTATAGTCTATAGACTATAGTGTAGTCTATAGTCTAGTCTATAGTCTAGTCTATAGTCTAGTCTATAATCTAGTCTATAGTCTAGTCTATAGTCTAGTCTATCTCTAGTCTATAGTCTAGTCTAGTCTATAGTCTAGTCTATAGTCTAGTCTATAGTCTAGTCTATAGTCTAGTCTATAGTCTAGTTTATAGTCTAGTCTATAGTCTAGTCTATAGTCTAGTCTATAGTCTAGTCTATAATCTAGTCTATAGTCTAGTCTATAGTCTAGTCTATAGTCTAGTCTATAGTCTAGTCTATAGTCTAGTCTATAGTCTAGTCTATAGTCTAGTCTATAGTCTAGTCTACTAGTCTAGTCTAGTCTATAGTCTAGTCTATTGTCTAGTGTATTTTAGTCCAGTATACTGTGCTCTAGTTTATAGAGTAAATAAATACATTTTTATAAATAAAACTACTACCTTGTATCAAACACAGTGGACATCAGCATATCTCCCGGCAAACTTACGCGCATTTTGATATATTGTTTTTACTGTATTTAAGTTGATTTAAAATTTTATTTAATTTCTTATATTTGTTTTTATTAAAAATTATTTTCATACAATCTGCAGCATTATCTGTTAGTTACAGATCGTTTTAAATATTGTATGATTTACTAATTTATTACCAACACTTTTAAAAATTTTTCGTTGCTGTCTTAACTCCAACCATTTAATTTGTTAACTGAACCAAATAATATCTTAACTCCTCAGTTTTTTTTAACCAGAGATATTGTTCTTTTCTGTGCCGTAATCGTGTGTAATTTTAATGCATTTTTACAATTTGTTTAATGAATTCTGAGTCAATATGTGGGCACGTTTAACGTTTTTTTTTTTTTTTTTGTTTAATTAACTTTTTGCTGCATGTGCCAAATAAATCATGATAAATTATATATAAAATTTGCAAATTACAAGTGACACTTTTACGTACATATTTTTCCCCTATTAAATGCTAAATTAACACTTTTATTATTAGTGTTAATCTAAGAAAATGAACTTTATTTAATTAATGTCGGTGCAGTTATGACTCAGACAAATTATGTCGATTTAAAACATTTTTTATATTTTTTTAATTAGAACAGGTTTTTATGATGTGCTCTACAGTAAAATAAAATAATTAAAAGAGATTTGAACGATTAACTGTTCTAATGAAGTTTGTTAGAGCGAAAGTTTTAACTGATTCCAACCTAGGCTAGACTAAAGACTAGACTATAGATTAGACTAGAGACTAGACTATAGATTAGACTATAGATTAGACTATAGACTAGACTATAGACTAGACTATAGACTAGAATGTAGACTAAACTGTAGACTAGACTGTAGACTATACTATAGACTAGACTATAGACTAGACTTTACACTAGACTATAGACTAGGCTATAGGTTAGGCTATAGACTAGACTATAGACTAGACTATAGGTTAGACTATAGGTTAGACTATAGGTTAGACTATAGACTAGACTATAGACTAGACTATAGACTAGACTATAGGTTAGACTATAGACTAGACTATAGACTAGACTAGACTATAGACTAGACTATAGGTTAGACTATAGACTAGACTATAGACTAGACTATAAACTAGACTAGACTATAGACTAGACTATAGACTAGACTAGACTATAGACTAGACTAGACTAGACTATAGACTAGACTATAGATTAGACTATAGACTAGACTATAGACTAGACTATAGACTAGACTATAGACTAGACTATAGACTAGACTATAGACTAGGACTATAGACTAGACTATAGACTAGACTATAGACTAGACTATAGACTAGACTATAGACTAGACTATAGACTAGACTATAGACTAGACTATAGACTAGACTATAGACTAGACTATAGACTAGACTATAGACTAGACTATAGACAGACTATAGACTAGACTATAGACTAGACTATAGACTAGACTATAGACTAGACTATAGACTAGACTATAGACTAGACTATAGACTAGACTATAGACTAGACTATAGACTAGACTATAGACTAGACTATAGACTAGACTATAGACTAGACTATAGACTAGACTATAGACTAGACTATAGACTAGACTATAGACTAGACTATAGACTAGACTATAGACTAGACTATAGACTAGACTATAGACTAGACTATAGACTAGACTATAGACTAGACTATAGACTAGACTATAGACTAGACTATAGACTAGACTATAGACTAGACTATAGACTAGACTATAGACTAGACTATAGACTAGACTATAGACTAGACTATAGACTAGACTATAGACTAGACTATAGACTAGACTATAGACTAGACTATAGACTAGACTCTAGACTAGACTATAGACTAGACTATAGACTAGACTCTAGACTAGACTATAGACTAGACTATAGACTAGACTAGACTAGACTAGACTAGACTCTAGACTAGACTATAGACTAGACTCTAGACTAGACTATAGACTAGACTATAGACTAGACTCTAGACTAGACTATAGACTAGACTATAGACTAGACTCTAGACTAGACTATAGACTAGACTATAGACTAGACTATAGACTAGACTATAGGCATTTTTTCGGTCCGCGGTTAATAAACCTAACGTATGATTAATTACTTTACAACTCTCAACTAATAAAACGTTAGACGTTTTCATTGTGTTTATGATATATTGTAATAATGATTATAATGATAACGATCATGTTGTGTGTGGTGACTACTGGTTGGTGCACTAGACCAAGAGATTAATGCAGTCAACGCACTAATTATGACTTTGTGATAAGAGTAGCGCTCATTGAAATTGTGATGTTGATTATTAATCGTATGTTGTTCTTATTGTTGTTGTACATCTCTGCTACTTCTTCGTCTTGTTTTTATTCTTTTTTTTTTTCATGTATGTATGATAACAAAAGGTCATTTGGTTAGAGATTAAAAGAAGGAAAAAAAGTGGGCAATAAATAATTGAGTTGCAACGGTAAAAATGAACATTTATATTTTATTGTTTAGCTGTGTTGTTGTTACTATTATGTTTTTGCAATGGCGACATGTGTTTACATTGTGCTGTTGTTGTTATTTTAGTGTTCTCTTACAACAATATTTTATTATTTAT